TACACTTGTCTTGGACTAGGAAATTCTGCTCTGTTATCTTCTGGGAGCCTTTTCGGCTCCTCCTATTTAATCCTATGCTTCTCATACAAATATCTAGTGAAATGTAGTCGTTTCGGATCTCTACCGACTCTTCAGGCGGCCGTTGAGCTCAGCGGCTATCCGGATAGCATATCCGGACAGATCGCCGAGTACTTACCGTGATCCTTGGCTCCTAAGCTCTGGGTTATCAGACCAAGCCGATTCTTGACCTAAAGTAGGTCGGCGTATGGTCGAATCTGGAAATCCCTACACCACATACCGAAGAAGCATCATGGAAGGAAAGCGAAGTGGTCGCGCTGGTGGCAAGTGACGCTGCATGGTATACATCTCGTCTTCTTTATGTGGGGGGTTGGAGTTCTTAGTCTACACATCCATGCATCAGTGCAAACTTCATTGCAGCAGTGCACACTACAAGTGAGACCGTGGGCAGCTGTCCGCCCGTGCTGTTTCTTGGTATCACTCGATTGCCATCGCTTCCAAATTTCTGGTCAACTGGAAGAAGTCGACTCCAAATGGCGAGAATTTGACGGATCTACGGTGGCTCTGATGGTTATCAAACATTGTCCTTTGGTCGCGATCCCCGATACATTCAATGAATTCCACGAACTCATCAGCGTTAAAATATATAATTCGACAATCGTCGACTGGAGAGAATCGGCTGCAATTACGAATACGAACCACCCGGCATTTTTGACTCTTATGGTCGTTCGGACCAACATGACAAACGGACAATTGCCGGCAGGTTTCCAATCCATTGACACACCGGTCAGCTTGTACGACTAGGAGTTTTGTGCTACTAATCTTCGTCAAGTTCCAGACGATCTCGACCTAAAGTGGCTAGCAGGATCGATTGTCATCATCGAATACAGTCAACTGCAGGTCGTTCCCCAAGCTCTATTACGCGTTATGCCATCCTATTTTTCACTCACCGGCAACCCCATTAGCGAACTTCCACCTGAGATTTTTGAGATTGAAGGGTTGACAGACCTGGGTATCGGCGATACAAATATTCGAGAGCTTCCTCAGAATGTGACTCAACTCTCACCAGCACTCTCGTCAATCTACGTAATAGGTACACGGATTTCGCTCTTTTGGTCGTGGGTGGATGACATTCTCGGGCGGGACAGTATTCGAAGCATACCACGAGCGATCTATGCAGGAAACACAATTTATTGTGACGATTTGAAGAGGATTTCGACGAAGTTAACCAGTTCTTGTAGTACTGTAACAAGCTCTGATTATTCTCTACAACTTATGGATCCAGCGGAGGCAGGTTTTGAGGGGAGTATCTGGTCGTTTGTGGAGTGTAACCCTGCTATAAGTGGACTCAGTGGACCTCTATACCCCCTAGCACCGGAGGACAAGCAGAATGCACTCCACAGTTGAACACCGGAGATACCATTTTGCACTTCGCATAACAGTTTTCATTTAACCCTTTTAAAGCAAAAGGCTTATTGAGGGAGACTTCTGTTCTGTACGAGCAAGGCTACTTTCTTGCACTAAAGTCCTGCGTGTACCGGAATCGACGAAAAAAATGCAATACCGTGACCAAAAATCTAATACGACAAAAACTATGTGTATGACACCCCGCCCCAAAGAATAAGTCAATTTTTTAATCTTCACTGTTATCGCCTTCCTCTTCTACTGTATCATAGTATTTTTGAGCTCGTCTCGTACCTCAACGACGAACACTTGGTTTCCACACCTAAAAAGTACAGATACAAAATATATATATAAAGAAATAAAAATAAAAATCTATTTCAACAAACCTCATTTATCCATTCGAGCATCCACTCTTCGTCACAATACGCATTCTTTTGAGCTGTGAGAATAGCTCCCTTGCGATAATAGTGGTTACCAATCAACTCCTGGTGGACTGGTCCACTTCACGCGCCCGAAAAAACGACGAACGCCAAAAGCTTCTTCCCCGTGGCAGAGAAATACCGAAGCACGAATGAATATTTATGCCTTTTTACCTTTTTACGATTTACTTGGGGTGATAGTCGATTTCGGTAAGCTATGTTGCGTGTAGAAAGCAATCTCTCAAAACATACCGGTTTTCTACAACCGGTGTAAAAAGTACCTTCAGGTCAAAACCGTAAAAACGGCGGAAAACGTAAAATCTCACACAAGATACTCCTGTCCATTTGAAACCGTCGCTTTGCTTAAGAAAGGGCGCGCTTTAACTGGGACACTGTTTTGATGCCAAACAGGTTATTAAACTTTAATAATTTTGCAGACTTTTTACGGACCACTGGTTGCAAAAACTTGATCGGTTGCAAAAATACCGTACATTCCGGTACACGATGTAAGCTAATCCTGGGACGTTGTACAGTATTACGTTTAAACGATACCGTAATCCACAGCTCGTGTTTAGCTCAGGCGTAAACTCTGAGCCTGTTTACTGTACTATCATACACTGTTCTTCACCCATGCGATTTCTCACTTCGCATTTTTCCTTCTACCAAACAAAACCAACCACTAGGAGCACCTATTGTCGATGCGGACCGACTACCTGATGCTGCTAGCAGCGGCCATTGTGTTTTTACACATCCCTGCCTTGACGATGACTGCGGCTGAAACGAGGCAAATAGCAGCGCCCAGTTCTCGATGGAGAACAAAACGCCCTTGGCAAGCGATCCCTAAGAGCCAACCACATGAAAGTTAGCAATGTTGAGGACCGAGAAGACGACGAAGAACATATTTTTCGTCGATTTACGGATTGGATCAAGTACCTTTTTAACAAGATGAATCCGAAACAATTACACACCTACTTGGACTTAGATGGCCTTGGCGAAACGGCCTATAAGCACAAGAAGTACCCGATCTATCTGATGAAGTCGAAAAAGTGGCGGGACAATCTATAAATCGAGAATCAACTCATGGACCGAGAAGGACATTGATGGCGGTCAGGATAAAAAAAACTTAAACCCCAATAATTACGGTATTGGCTCACTACAATACTTGGTTATTGTCGTACTGACACAGTGAAGTATTACATTTGGGCTCCTAACTTTATCGAAGCGAAACGATGGAAGCCCATCGACACGGATAGAACCGCTTGCTTCTGTAAAGTATATGTGCCAACTTGCAAGCACTAACTATCAAGAAATCGCACCTGTACTACAGGCTTAAAAGGGTTTTGGACCCTACTGAAGCTGAATATCAATGCCTTGCAACGAAACATGAGAATGGGTTGCTTAACACATGGGCTTCCTGGATATACAGGTTGCTTGCATGGCGGGTAAGTGAAGTACATGTATGCAATGCGACGCCGTCTCCGCGGCACTTGCCGCCAAATTTGGTTGCCCCTCGTGGCTCGAAGTGTCCGCCATGCACATACAGTATATATTGCCTATAAAACATTTCTACCAATTTTAACGATTGTTTTTTTACTTTGTTTTCTATTTTAACATATTGGGAGCTTTGGTAGTCAAATAAAGAATCAATGGTCACTTACAGAGGCTCAGTTAGAGAGGTGTGACTGTATATGGAATGTCGCTCCGTTTTATAGTTTGTACTCACGATAAAATGATACACTATTAATACTTTTGAGCCGCGATAGATCTCAAACTACTTACCTAAACTTAACGAAATGAATCACCACGTGGTTTATCTTTAAAGTAGCAACTAGGGCACCTTTGTAGTGCCAAAATGTCAGCTACACGACGCCGCCGAGTAAAAATTTTTTATAGGAAAGGAACTGGTCGACTTCTTCCACAAACACGAGGCCAGCACAATCACATCGGATGACCTATTGGCTGCTCATAGACAGTGATATAAAATCTAGCCTCAAAAACTACAGCCAGCCAGTATCGACTAACAGTAACCAATGTATGGCAGCACATAATAAATATTATTTAAAACACGCAACGATATGCTGTCAAAACGCTTACATGCTGAAGCTGACATTACCAGACCCACCTATTCTAGCATCGACAGCACTCGGGCGCTACATTGAGCTTTTGTATTTACTCATCAGTATGAAAGGTATACAGAGCATGAACAAGGAATGCTAACGACGTTAATGAGAACCCAGGTCATAAAACACAGGCGCAAACGTCGCAGTTGCTTCTTTCACCAAAATGGCTACATGTAGCGATTTTCTTTAAATGACCATTTCTTTAAAATAATAGTCCATTTCGGCCGAACCATTTGGGTACCACTTAGAGAGATGTGATTGTACACACTTTAACGAGGCTATACTATACAAAATTAAGTCAAATCAAGGTAAGAGGGCGATTTTTTTCGCTCTTTTAGCTGTAACGAATTCCCTCAGCTATGACATTCAGAAAGGTGTTCGCACATAACCAGAAATTGCATGTACGGTCTATCCAAAGTGTTTAAAAAACTATTGTTGTAGATTATTATCTGCAGCGGTTCGGAACATGTCGTCAAAATCATCGTCCAAACTATAATAACAGCGTAAATTCTGCT